TTTTCTTTTTCTTTTTTTTTCTTTTTCCCTTGTTCCTTCTTGGATGAAACTCCTCCGGCTCAGCAAAACTCGGTGCGCCATTAATGTCAGGCTCGGCAAAAACAGGGTCGTCCACGATAGTGAGCCCGCGCCTGGAGGATGGTCGCGACTTCGAGGAGCAAGATCAGGATCGGAATAGTGATGAATCGTCCACTAGACCATGGGAAGATACATCGCACTCACTGGCAGAGAGTCACTCGTCGCTGGCCAGCAACCAAGTGAGTCTCTCTCTCTCCCTCTCTCCCTGTCCCTAGCACATGATCGCGTCTGGCTGTCAGTACGGCCAGATGCTTTCGAAGCCATGACACTCGGGCGAGCCAAACTCACAAGGACGAATTGTCCTTGGGCTGCGACGAATATGGCGGGTGGGATCTCAACAACGGCGGTCTTCACTGGATGGCGATGGCGAGCAATGTAATCACAACAACGAGGATCTGCACCACGATCCTAGTGATGGTGATCGCGATGATGATTAAGAGCACGCGGCGATGGCCACACTCCACTACGTACCAATAGTGAACATTGAGAACGAACCTTCCCCAAAAGCTCGGGTGCAGCGCCCGGCGAAGCACCGTGCATCCTGTGGTGTCCAGCGCGCCCCCRACGGCCCTTGAAAATCTGGAGCTGCGGGTACATCTCACGCGCGGACGCACTCATAACCGCATCAGGTCTCCTAGGTGAGCAGCCTCTGGTCAAAGAAAGAATGTAGGTAAGAGAAGTTGGCAATATGGATCCGTGACCTTGGGAAAAGGATTGGCTATGAGGGCTGGGCCTAGGGGTCTGCACCTCGATGTCGTTGGCTGCCGGTGGTCTGCCCAAGCTGCACTCGCGGCGAGGGCAGAACCTGCGTGTCGGTGCCGCTCCGTACCGCTCACTTCCTCTACTCACACCCGCCCCCTGCTCGCACTTACCTCACTACCTTACCTGTTAGAAAGTTTGCACCTAAACACGGTTAGGTGCACCTCCCCTCTTATATGAAGACGATGACCTGGTCAACTGCAGGATCAATGAGCAGTATGGCGAATACGATCGACACTGCAAACAAACGTGCAATCACAACGACCACGACAGGCACCATGACGAATATGATCAGAACAGCTACGATGACGACCTGTGCGGCTATGGCCGTCCTCCATTACTCACCAAATGTGCAAAATGAGAATGAATCTTCCACTCGGACCTGGCCAGGCTCGTCATCCGATGAGTGTTGTTGAGCGCATCGGCTCGCGCCTTTTTTTTGCAAAAGGCGAGAGCCCTCCCGGCCTTGTCATGCAGGAGTTAAAGAAAATCAAACAACGAGGCGACTCGCGGACAATGCAGAATAGTCTAACTTTCAAACAAAGAGGCAACTCGGGGACCCACACACACACACACACATCGGCTTTCAAACGTACTAATGGCTTAGAAATAAAAACCGGCCGTGACTTTCACGGCGCACCCAACTGTCACTTGCAAAGAAACAGGGCGGATACCCTTGTAAGGGTATTCACATGGACACCGATTCTCCATCTGCCCATTTGGACCTTCCACCCCTCCTGTGCAAAAAAAGAATCCCTCTCTCTCTCTCTCTCTCTCTCTCTCTCTCTCTCTCTCTCTCTCTCTCTCTCTCTCTCTCTCTCTCTCTCTCTCTCTCTCT